TTTCGAGGATTGTCTGAGCTAGCCGTCCCTAATTTTGAAGTGATAAACTAGAGGGAGAGTAGCTAGTCAACACCACCCACTGGAAACTCTTGAGCTACTCTTTACTAACGAATAGTAGGATTGACCGTTTTACATTATAACGCCTCCCCACCCTACCCCACGATTGAAATGGCGAACATGCTTGCTCTAAGGCTTCGATCTTGCGACATACAGGTTACGAGTCGAGTGTCCTAATCACTAGTCCATGCGAGGCCACCTGGTGTGCATTTGATATAGATATACCTTAAGTACTGATTATATTTTAGTGGAAACAATGCAGCAGTGGATCATACGTGTATGAACGCAGTTTCTAAAACCCTAGAATACCACTCTTTATTTTTATTTGGGCTTTAGTTCAGCTTTTATTTTTTTTGATGATACTATATATATACTTTATTCTTTTGGAAGAAAAACAGTTACTTTCTTCCGTTATTGGAGGTATAACCTAAGTACTTAGTGGCAAATAAACATATGAAAGACATGTATATACGATATATATCATTATGATATAAGTGACGCTAACTTTGCAGGTCGTAAATGACGTCAGTTTTTATTCTTATTCCACAGGTTTAGTAGTGCATGTGCGTGGGCGTCAATGTAATTTGTAACAGCGGCTTGTTGAATAATGAGATGTAGTTTATTTATTCGTGGTTAGTTAAAAAAGGAAAGTCTGTGAAGTAAGCTTTTGTTGTGCTTCCCATTTCGTCGTTCTTATTACTAGTTTATGTTGGTTAATTTTTTCCCGTGAGTTTATTGTAGTGGAAATCCACTCTGGATAATGATCTTTTGCTTAGAATGAAATTTGTCCAAACTTGACAATTTTTATTCCAAAGCATTAAAGATCGAAGAAGAACTTGAAGGGTAAAAGCATGCCAATGTTGAATCAAAAATGCTGTGTTATAATTAATTTTTCTTACCTTTGTACTAACATGTGTATTGGTATCACATACTCAAATATTTCAAACTACAGACAAGTAAACGTAAAGCCAACCCTTTTTTTATTAACTTCAATGCAAAATTAAAGCACAGGCACAAAACGTAGATTTAGATTAATGGTTTATTGAAGGCATTATGGGAGATATCTTGAGATTGTCATATGTATCGAACATAAGCTAATGACATTTTTTGAAGAGCCATATACAACATCATGACATGACTGGTAGTTGTTGTTGAAGGTAAGTACCATCAGCTCATCTGTAGAGGGGGGTACTTTTTTCTTTTCTTGCGTTTATTTATGACCTGTTGTATACTTGTATACAATGTTTTGTATGTCAAAATTTAAATCGGAAATTTCAGTGAATTTCAATAGACAGTAAAATTTCCAACCAATAAATAAACGTTCATATTAAACAAAAATTTTTTTGTCACATTAGTATTTTTATGGGTAAGGATTAGTTTTATTATGTTTTGGATTTTAATTGTAACGATTGGTTTTGATTAATGTTGTTTTGGTTCAGTTTTACCAACAGAACACCATGATTTGTGAAAATAGCTGTATGAAACAGTGTAATATATGCTGGCTGCTAAATTTGGGTTGTATGTACCATCTTTTGTCATAATAACTACCTGGTCTCAGCATATTGTTGCCTCTATAATATATTGGAAGATGTCTTGTTTGATTGTAGCCATTTGTCGAGAAGTACGATCAGGAAAGAATTAGGTGGTGAATGTGATGTTCATTTTCACCTCCAAGATGATCAGTCGGAATGGGATAAATTGGATGGATTGAACACAAAAGTTGAGTGAAGTCGCTGTTGTGCCTTTTTAATCAATTTCACTTTTGAAGAGCTTTTGTCAGTATGTGGTAAGTAAAAACTAATTTGTGTCTAACTGCCGAGAAAAGTCGAGCCGGTAATAACAAGTGAAAGGGCTCTGTCAAAAAAACTTAAATACTGCTTTAATAAACAGCTCGATATAGATTTCATTATTTGCGACCAACAGAGAAAGAAACCTGGTGTGTGTTCAATATGTCACTCTGTATTTTCCATTTCTAGTAGAAGCAAGACATCTATAAAAACGTACAAAGTTAAACTAAGCATAAAGCTGCTCTTCAAGCATGAGCTACTTCCAGTTTTCTTACAAATATTTTTCACAAAGATAAGCCAAGATAACGTGTGTAAGACCTCACAGTGCAAGAAGTAACTTTTGCATACAATTAGATAATCTAATACATGGAACTGCATCAATGTGGGCCTGATATAGTTAGTAACAACTTTTAGGTACGCTCTAAATGTTAGTTGCTCTTCTAAGGGAATCAAAGACTTTTCCACACCATTATACCACTTCCAGTAGCTTATGGTGTAGTAAAAAGTAGAAGTCACGTACTTCACGTGGTTTTCTTTATTTTCTTTACCATACCCCCCCCCCACCCCATATTATATCTTGTCACGATTTCCATTTTAAGCGTCTTTGAAGTTGTGCTTTCCTGCTTGCATCTGAAATAAGTGTTTTGTTGGTTGCCGTATGACAGTCTTCGTAATAATACTGTTACGACAGCGGAAGTCACGTGACTCTGGTAACAAGTAATGAGTATCTAGAAGGTTCGTGAAGGCTCGAGTGTTTGCCAGACTTGCTGTATTCTAATATATAAGCCCGACAATCAAAGAGGGAGGGGATTAATCAGAACTGGAGTAGCAGATAGAGAGATTGAAGATATGACACAGTTAATCGAGTGAAGTGAGCGGTAGTGACCGTAAGTAAAGTGCGTGAGTCGTTGTGAATTATAGCGTGTGTTTAAGTTAGAGTGACTGTGGAAATTAAGTATATTGCAAAGTTGAATTGAGAAAGAATAAACTAGTGTTATTTAAGAAAGGACTTGTATCGCAGAAGTTTCTCGGAAAGAATTTCTACGGAAAATTAACAAACGAACACAGACGTAACAAATTGGTGTCAGAGAGTGGGACGAAAAAAAAAGAAAGAAGAAGATGGAAACGAGAGGTGGCAAATCAAACTACAGCTTAGCAGATTTGATGGCAGCAATACAAGGACAGCAAAAAAAACAAGAAGAACGAGAAAAAGAAACAAGAAGAAAGACAACAACAGTTGCAAGAAAACCTGCAACAGTGGCAGCTCGAACAGCAACATAAACAAGAAGAGAGATTACAGCAGTTGTTGTAGGAAAAAGAAAAGAAACAAGAAAAGAGATTACAGCAGTGGTTGGAGGAGAAAGAAAATAAACAAGAAGAGAGACTACAGCAGTGGTTGAAGGAGAAAGAAAATGAACAAAAAGAGAGACTACAGCAGTGGATGGAGGAGAAAGAAAATAAACAAGAAGAAAGTCTCCAACAATTGAGAAAAAGCCAGAGTACACAAATGAAAAACATTAGTAAATTTCAAAGCGAATTAAATATATTAAAGATGATTTATTGTTTTTTACACAAGGAGGATACATTAACCATTGACTTAATCAGCCCCAGACAACGGCAAGCCCCTTCCAGACCCCGCAGCTAAACCATAATGCAGACATCTTCAGTCCTGTTAGAAGTCACATCCCAGATATGAATGTCAGCAATAGGGGTGATCTAGTGCGAAGGAAGCCACAGGAATTCGATGGGAAGGCACCGTGGGAAGCATATACAGCACAATTTGAGCTCCTGGCAGAGATGAATGGATGGACAGAGGAGCAGAAAGCAGTATATCTGGCAACGAGCTTGAAGGGACAACCACTGAAAATACTTGGACAGTTGTCAGCAGACAACGGGCACAACTACAGAGCACTGGTAGCGGCTCTAGAACTCAGGTACGGAACCCAAAATCAGTCTGAAGTCTACAGGGCTAGGTTTAGGACGAGAGTCCGTGCTAAAGTGGAGAGCCTGCAAGAGGTGGCATAGGATTTGGAAATTATGGCACACAAAGCCTACCCAACTGCACCACCCGGTCTCCTCAAGTTGTTGCTGAGGGATCAGTTTGTAGATACCTTGGACAGTCCACAAGTAAAGCAAGCACACCCCTCTACTATCCAGGATACAATGGCCAGAGCTCTTGAATTCAAATCCTACGTTAAGTCCAGCACAGAGGTACCAAGGTTGGTACAGTCATCACGATTCAAGGCCAGAAAAGGGCAGCTTTCAGAGAGGTTTGAGGGATTTTGCTGGCACTGTAATAAACCTGGGCACAAGACAGCTCAATATCGGCAACTTCAACACAGGGAAGATGACACGGCATGAAAGGCTGCTTCCCAGAAAGGTTGTTGGAATTTCTACGGAAAATTAACAAACGAACACAGACGTAACAATACAGACAAAGTTAGTTGAATCTTGACCACTTTTGAAGGAATCAGTGAAATGGGACACGAAGTGATATTTATTCAATTATTGGATTTCACAAGCCTATCCAATCATCGTTTGCAGTGGCCATAACCTCTCCTAATGGCATACATATGCTCTTTTAATTGCCATTGTTGATAGACTCTGAATTCAGATGTCTTTCAATGACCAGTCAAAGGAATGTTCTTTGATGACAGTGCTCCTGGTAAATCTACATATTCTACCATGCCTCTTTGAAAGTTGTAGAGGTCTTTGCTCTTACCCAATGTCTTGTAGACTAACCATTATAAAACAATATATCTATAATTATAGAGCTCTGATCATCTGATATGTCTTATAATCAACGTATTTTACATCAACAAATAAGTAAGGTGTTCTTGAAATATGTGTAAGTGGGATAAATGCAAATACAAAGGGCACTCAGTCTTAAGATTTTACATTTATTGAAGGTAGTAATGTGGTAATTAATACTGATACTGTTACATTATTATTACATTTTATCCGTTATTAATCCGTTTGTTGTTCATATTAAACTATGTTTTCCATTGAATTTTATATTTATACTTAAACAGTTATATATTGTACACAGTGTGTTTTTACTACTTTTAGTATGCATCAGTCATATTTCTGTTTGGATTATTTATTATTTCATTTATGTCTTTAAGTTACTACATACTACATTTTATTTTCATACAGGTGAAGATATTATTTTCAGTTGATGATTAACTTGAAACTATGGGTTGTTTATCTTCACGAGCTATAGTTGAAGAAAGGAGAGATTTGTTTCAAGTAGGTGTTATTACAACTTAGTTTTAGTATAGCTTCTACAAAACAAGGAGTCACACATGGCCCCAAAATCTGATCAGTAAATTTTTCTCCAATACTTTTTATATGTATATTTAATTATTCAGTAAAATACTTCCCAAAAAATATAAGTAAAAATTTAGCTTTGAAATAGTCAATTTTAAAAGATATTTCCAGTCTTAGATAATTGTTTGCATTATCAAAATTCATGGAATATATCAGTAAACTAATTATTAACACAATGACAAAAAAGAAGCAAATTAATATTCAGAGAGCTAGCATTATTTTAAAACAAGAAAGTTAACAAAAATGAAAAAAATAGAAGAAAAGAAATATGCAAGGTAACAGAAGAGATGTAAAAACTACATCAAGAGAATCAGAATAGCCAACACAATGGTCATGGAAATTAAAGCTAATATTAGACAAGCTAACATTGAAAAAATTGGCAAAGTATGACAAGTGAACTTTTCAGTTAGCTGCAGAGTCTGGTAAACTAACACAATGAATGTTCTAACATGTAAGATAAAGAGAAAAACTAACAAAAAACAGTGGATGGTCTAATACAACACAAATGTATAAGGTAATTAATTTCAATTGTGCCAAAAAACTAGTTTGAAGAAGTTTGTTCTTATATTATAAAGATGAAAGCAATTTTGTGTTTGTGTGTGTGTGTTTGTGCATGAACATGTGATTTTAACAGTGTTATGGAGTTCCCTTATGTTCCCTCTCAGTCTTTTAACACAATAAAAAGATTACACAATTTGTCTATAGGTGACATTTCTGTCAAAAAGTATGCTATTTGTTTGTTTATTTTAGAGCAAAGTCACATTGGGCTATTTGCTGTGTCCCCTGTGGGGAATCAAACCCCAGATTTTAGCATTGTAAGTCTGTAAACTTACCGCTGGGAAAAAACATTATACTAAGTGCAGTTTTAAAATCATAATTTATTATTCTTACTTCACTCTATTCAACATAATATATTTTATGGACACGACTTATAAGTATGTTTCTCAAAATTATTGACATGAGAAAAAACATTTTATGGTTCATTCTTTTTAAAATATTTGTTCAAACTATGCTGCCCCGATGCACATAAAGTTAGATCCATCTTAATTCAGAAATATGAGATTAAGAAATGGGTTATTACAGCATTAACATCCTCATGTGCATACAAATAATCAAAACTGTAAGATTTGTAAATACAGCTGATAAATAACCTTAATTTTCCAATATTTATATGTGAAGTTACTTTTGAAAATTTGTACTACATTGATATTTTGTCAAAACTAGCCATGTTCAATTATGTATATATGTTATACAAAGTAATGTTACGTCTCCGTGTGTGTTAATTAATTTTCCGTAACTTCGTTCCGACGAAACTTAAGCGACACAAGTCTTTACTTAATAAAACTGGTTTATTCTTTCCGAATATAACTTTACCGTACACTTATTCTCAGTAGTCGCGTTATAACAAACTATAATAACGAACGAACGTTAACTACAACAATACGTCTATCTCTGACTGCAGTTCAATTACTCATTGACCACACACACATTACATTACCTTCTTTTATATACCAGCGTACCATATTTCTAGTAAGAACTTGAACATTCGCCACAGTACATGATAGTTCTAGAAACGTTGCGTCATAGAAGTCACGTGACTGCTGACGCAACAATGAATTGAAATAA